ATATATATATATATATATTGATATATATTGATATATATATCTGCAAGTTACTTTGTCACCACATTTTTTTCAAAATTTGCTACATTAGGAATATATTTCCCAAACCAGTAAATATTTCACAACCAGTTAGAAATGAGAGTAATGGGAAGCAGTTGTTGGTTTCCATGGTACGAATATTCCCACCACAGCTAACAATAAGCTAAAATGGTTTTAGGAAATGGATCGCGAAATTCCTTAAGTTTTAGCAATCAGCCCTGCAACCAAGTACAAGCTGCCCCAGCAAGACCAGCATCCAAAAGCATACAAGATGTGTGAATAATCAGTGTGATTCAAATCACAATACACACAGTACTGTCAAAATGACCATCTTACATAATATTTTAAGAAAGAACAGCCTTTTTCACTGCATAAGCGAAGAAACAAAAAGGATGGAAAATAACTATAAAGATGCAAATACACTACAGAGCTCACAGAATTCTTATAAGTACTAACAATACTACCCAGTCAACTACCACTGTGCTAAAGAGAAAAACAAAAGTAAAGCAGATGAAGCCTGGCAGTATTTACAGTAGTATTGATTATCTACTAATCCATTTATTCAGTCTTAAATTATCAAGCATACATTATGCCTCCTAACTTCAGGTTCCCAGGGTACTAACTATAACTAAAATGAAGTTCCTGCCCTCATGCAGCTTACAGTCTTTTAGAGATATGCCATAAACTTTTCCTGATGAATAACTGGCACGGAATATTCAAGAAACCTTAACATTAAAGTAAGTAAAACAAGATGAATGAAATGCAAAGGCACCATATACCATCAGTTTTTAGAGGAAAAAAAAAGAGACATGGGAAAAGAAAAGCCTGTTAGAAAGAAAAGAAGAACAGGATGAAAAGGCAGAAAAATTCAAAGCCCATAGCCCACCACCTCTGTGTAGGCATATAATCCTTGCTCCTTGCTGGTGAAGCTGGTACCTTATACAAACTTTACTATAGCACACAACAATTTCACAGTTGCCTCAAGGTACGCGGTTCTTACCCCCAAGACAAACCAACAATTAGGGATTAAAGGTTAGTGACCACCGCCTTAACATATCCTCTTACTTTTGCAGGAGAACGTTGTTTCCGCTTCTTCTTTTTCTGTAAGTCTACTGGCTCTCTGATTTGTTTTTTGTCTCTCATCAGCTGCTCAGATACATCAGTAAAAGTAATTTCCTGCTTTACACTTATCTGTTTAAAAAAAGAAAGCCGAATTTAGAAAAGCATAAAAGACTGTGAAAAAAATTCATTGTATGTGTAATCCTTCGCTAAACTTGTAAATAGGTACCCCTTAATGTCTATGTGTGCACCAACTAGAGAGTGCTACACAGAATTCATTAACAGGCAGTTGAGAAATAAAAATCAAGGATATATAAACGGGGGAAATAAGATTTTTAAAAGATTTACCAGAAAAGATTAAAGATATCCTTGAAAAATATTATTATAAACAACCTAGTGGAATCCAACTGAGGATAGGACACAGTAGTATCAATTTCATTACAAGATACAGGGAACTGATACTGAAGTTACAAGCACAGAGCAAAGTTAAGTTTCAAAAATCAGCACAATATCAGGTGAAAAAACAAGCATTTAGACATCTCCATAGGCCCTCTTTATCAAGAAAACAATGAAAAATTTTAGAAAAGTTCACATCAAAAGTGTGCCCGATGCTGACGGGCAATAGCCAGTTATTTTCCTAGCCTTCACAACAATCATTATCAAATACGTGATGATAAAATCTCATATAATTTTAGGTCACTACTCTGCATAAGACATGGCGCTTTCAACAAATAAAGACATTAAGATTTCAAAAATGTCCCATTTTTAGGCCTCAGCTCTCAGAGTCACTTGTCCTATGAGAAACATCAAGGTATTAAGGTCAATGAGGGTACAGTCAATTCTCATCAGATTTGATGGGGTTCAGTTCTCATTCTCATTGCTACAATTTCAACTAATCCTTGAAATAAAGACACAAGAATCTTTAACTTTCAACTAATAGGCTGTGAAATATAGCAAAATTCTTGAAGAATCATCTGAGAAGCTCAATGTGCTAATGACTTACATTAAAAAAAAAATACCAGAAAACATGGTGCAAAGATTATGAACATCTTATAAATTCACAGTATAAGCTGGAAGGTACTTAAAATAGCTCTGCAGAAGGGGTTCATGAGTAATCTTCTTTGACATAAGCTAGGAATTTCAGAATGATGAAATAAACAAGTTTTCATGAATTCCTGAAATGTGGGCAATGTGAGAATCACAAATCAAGAAGGATGGCACCAAAAATATGACATAATGATTATTGAGCTAGTATTATGAGGAAATAGAGCATTACAGAGACCACTCTTACTGTTTATTTTTGTTATCAGTTAAACAGAATGGTAAAATCACCACTAACAGGCCTTGGTAAATGGGCCTTACTACCTTTGAAGTGATGTTTACTGAACACAACTACACACTAAGCTGAGGGTGGGATGAAAAAACGAACTGTAAAAGTAGCTGTGGGCTCGCATGCCCTTCCTCATGACAGTCTGCCCTGTGTCCTCCAGGGTGTACTTTCATCTTGCTTTGCCCTCTTTCACTCAGCCCAAGTACTCTACAGAGCCAGGTTCCCCGGCACTCTTCTTCCCTTTTACTTTTTCAAATAAACTTTGTCAGCAAGGGGTGGGTGCAGGAGGGGAGGGGAGGGAATGGGAGGGGAGCAGAGGAGAGGAAGAACAGCTGTGGAGTTGACTGACTTTTCCTATTTTTGTAGGAGCTTCAAAAAGTAACTCATAAATCATGGAAATATAACATCAAGCAATAAAAAACAGAGAAAGTTTTTGGTAACCGTCAAGGGGAGTGTAAGACAGATTCAAAAGTAAGCCCTGAAATCAGCAGCTACTCACAAACCAGAGTAGCCTTTAGGTGCAAAAGGTAGAAAAAAAAAGATTAATAAATATATCTGAAATTTTTAGTTACTTCCACACACAGTACATAGGAGATTATAGTAAAAAGATCATTTTCAAGTACAAGAGATAATTTTTAGTATTATTAAAGCATAAACTATACCTACCAGTCACAGTGGATCAAACCACAGTGATTATCAATAGACACACCATAAATTACACTTTTAGAATGTTCCAATAGGCTTATCATTGATGGAATAGAGAGAGCTTTCTTTATATCACTTATAACCATACTCTATAAAGCATTTGTTCTAACTTAAGGTAGTTAGAAAAGATGTGGGTAAATATAAAAACATAAAAAGGTAAGTATGCTAATGATAGAACAGCTACAAAAAATGAGGTGCGAGGTCTGGAAAAACTTTTGCTACAAAAGTGGTTTACAAGAACAAGAAAACTTAGGTAAGGCAGAGATAATCCATTCTGTTACTTAACCTTTCCTTAAGAACTCTGGTGCATGCCTGTAATCCCAGCACTCAGGAAGCTGAGGCAGGAGGATCACCGTGAGTTTGAGACCAGCCTAGGCTACATAGTGAGTTTCAGGTCAGTCTCAACTACATAGTGAGACCCTGTCTCAAAAAAACCAAAAAAAAAAGGACTCTTTAAAAGGAAACCAAGTTCACAGTATTTTGGCAAAAAAAGAAACCTAAATGTAACACAGAAGTAGGTCCTAGAGTGTGTTACCTTTGATCTTCCTTGAAAGTTCTTAAGGGTATTTCTTTATTCTCCTGACCTTAAACCCTTGCCAAGCCCGGTGCACACTGATCCCAGTCAGCACTCTGGGAGCAGGAGGACTGCAAGCCTGAGCCTAGTCCAGGCAATTTAGTGACTTCACAGGACACCATCTCAAAATTAAGTAAATAATTAAAGGACTAGGGGTGTCGCTCAGTGTGGAAGCCCTGGGTTCAAGCCCCAGTACTGTGAAGAAAAAAAAAAAAGAGGAGAGAGGATGGGAGAGAGGGACTTTCCTTTGATCTAAAGCCAAAATTCTAACTGAAGCCCACTATCCAAAATGACTTTCTTTTCTAACAGTCATTTCATTCTGGCCCCCAAAGTAATAAACTTGTCCTACTTTTATATTTAACTATTTCGTGTAGAAGGCATTCTTCACTGGCATTACCCGTAACACCCTTCACTTGTTTATTTACTTAACAGTTATTAAGTGCCTGCTTTGTGCTAAGTCCAGTAAAGCTTAAATAACAAAACAAAAACATTTACTGAGATCTTAACACTCCAGATATGCAGAAACCATTCCGAATATGAAATCTCCTTTGCAAAAGTCTTAAAATGTAGGTGTGGAGTTCTGATGCACTGTAAGAAACAAATAAATAAAACAGCACACGTCGTCTTTCAAGTAAATGAAAAGTATGAAGAGTGAGGGCAAGAATTCCAGGGGCAGGGGCAGTATGAAGACTTGAAATAACTGCAAGCCTTATGCACTAAAGGAAAGATTAAAAGTTTATTATGTATTCCCTCTTTCTCTTCTAAACATGCTACCTTCCCAACTCCCTTGTTGCAGACTAGTGTTAAGTACTGTCCCAAACATGTTACCAGATACAGTACTATCTGGTTTGCAAATTCTGGCCTATTCCTCCCTCCCCACCTTCCAAACAAAGCGGTAACTGACTGGCGGGATCACTTGGGACTCTTCCCGCTTTTCATTGCAAACTTCCTAAATGTACATTCAGAGACACCCTCTTCACGCCAACTAACTTTACCCATCTCAAGGACTTTGGGAATTGTCTCTCAGTGTATTCTTCTACAAATAAACTGACAAGAAACTCTTTTCTTGTCATTTCACAAGTGAGGAACCTGCTCCACTGCCTATAGTATCAATTGTACATTCTGCAGCTCAGGTTCAAGATTCTATGTGATCTGCTTCATAAAACAGACTTGGGGAACTTGTCAGAAGATCTCTCTTCTTCTTCTCCTTCTAAAGCTTTACATTCTTATCAGCTTCATTTCAATGTTTTGTCAGTCTTACTTTTACCCCAACCACTGAGAAAAGGGAAGATACCTTTCTGCTCTCTTCTGCTCTCTGCTAAGGATTCCATCCCCACCCACTGCCAAGAGGTGTACTGCTTCTCAGCCTCTCCCTCCCCTTCCCCAGTACCAGGAGAACTCAGGACCTTGCACTTGCAAGGCAGGCACGTTGCCACTGAGCTAAATCCCTCGCCACAGCCTCTCTTAAGTGTCGGGACTCCATCACTTACTTCTCTTCCTAAAAGCACAATAAAATCCGCCCTACAAAATAAATCTTTGTGGACCAAAATTTTTCTAGCTACTATCCTTCAAATGGCCAAACCCTGAAAAAATTATCTGTACTTGGCATATAAAGACAATAACTGTCCCCAAATTTAGAAAAATGGCTATTCTGAGAGTAAAAGTGTACACAGGCATATAAAAAGGATGTGTGTAGATATCACCACAAGGAATCTGTTTCACAACAGTGCCTAGGAAACACTCAAGGTGAAGTAAGGTGACCACAAAAAAAGTGCTTAAAAAGAAAGACATAACACAACTGCACAGCAAACATACAGTTTAAAGGAAGAATGTTAGCAATATTTGAGGGTACTTATGGAGTAAAGAACAAGAGGACTATCAGTGTGTGTCTGGGTACCACAAGGATGGTTTTGGCAAGATAGTTATAACCAGCCAACAGGAAGATCTCAAATTCCAAGCTCACAATGTGTAAGGCAGGGAGGGAGTTGAAGTAATAAAGTGATAGACAGGCTTTTGTGAACCATGGACCTTAATCCTCCTCTCTGCTTTACCCAGGAGCACAGGAAAAATTTGCCAGGGGAGAAACTGATAGCTGTCCTTTGATTTTTGAACAGGTCAAGAGATCCACAGTCAAACTATTCTCTACCTTCCTATTACATTTCCTGTACGTTCTTTAAAATGTGATTGCTGAATCAGCATCTAACAGTCTAGATAATATAGATGAAATAGAAAAGTGAAAAATCAAGTTATCTTACCTGGAATCATGCCAACCACCCCTACACCACTTGGAAATTCTATTCTTCCAATTTCCATGACATTACCTGTTTTAGCTCTCTTTTTCTTCACAACAGTTCTTCTTAATCCATCTTTCCAGGAATAGGCACGTTTACTTTTTAAGAGTTTCAGTAAATCTACATCAGTGGTTCTCAAATGCACGGACTCCCAAAGGTCCCTCACTCCCTTTCAGTGTCGAGTTTCCCCTATTAATCTACTGTTACCATATCTTTTCTTTTAACTGTCTTT